CCTTAACAGCAACCCAGTTTAAACCAGATGAAAGGCGCATGATACTGGGAGTTCCTATTTGGACAAACTGTTTCAGCGTGCTGTATCAGATGTTGAAGCACTGCCATCTGCGGGTGCTCTCATGCACTGTTGGCAAACCCATTAAAGCCGAAGCTGTGCACATGGCAAATAATGTGTTCCACATGATCCCCATGAGCTCCCCAAACGAGAACCAATGAAGATGAAGCCCATGGACAAGGGCAAGGTGGAGGGCGTCCCTACCAGCCCGAAAAAGGGCTCTGCCTCAGGCTGTGGCTCAGGGTTTCAGACTTCTTAGGTGTTGAGGGCAGGTTATATAATGCGGTTTAGGAGTTGGGACAGACTAGGGGCTCAGGGAAGGTGACATGATATGAGCACTTGAAAAGCTTTTGGTTTCGGTGGGTTCTCAAAAGCTTGGCCAACGTTTTTGGGGCCCCAGACTATCTGACGAAGTTCTCAACCCTCCTTGGATGCAAATCGCGCAGGCTTTGCGTAAGGAAGGCCGAGTAGGCTATATGCTGGGACTTCGGTTTCGGTAGGCTTTGATGTTATCAGAGTTCCCTTGCTTTTGGAAAATAGGGTTTGAGGGTAAGCGAGCGAAAAACACATCCCTGACCTTCTAAGCCTAGCAGCAGTCTTTTGGGCCAAGAGCTTGATTTCTTCGGAAGCAGCTTCCATGGGAGTCTGGGTTGTGGCAGGAGAACCACGAAGCAAGCCACCGGAGCGCCAGCGGCGGGAACCAGAGATTTCTGCTCCGCCAGAGATGGTTCAGCCGATGATTGTGCCGGCGGTGGCACAAGAAGTGGCCTCGCAGATGCAAGAGCGGCTGCTGAACATGGGGAAGGGTTATGCGACGCTTGCTTGCAAAGCTGCATGAAGCGTGTGGATCCCAAAAATCACACTCTGCTTGGAAAGCAGCGTTTTATGATGATGGGCTGACTTGTGGGGCATGGTTAGGCTCCGATCAGAATGGGTGCTCTGTCTAAGGAAAAGCTGGCAGGACGGATGTGTCCTTGGCGCTCGTGTCGTGCATAGCAGCTATCCAGCACCATGGAGCTAGGCTTTATCTTGACATTGCTGTTTCAAGATACAATCCAGCGATGTGAGCTAGGGGATGAAGACCTCGAAGGGGCCTTCGACTGGTGACTGTCATCCAGCAAAGCCCAATCCTACTGTACTGACCATGGGTGCGGTTGTCAAGCATGCCCGGCAGGAGTCTGTCCCCACGCTGCAAGACCCTTCAGCAAAGAAAGCTGCAAAGGCTTCTGAGCTGCAATGAGAAATCAAAGTTTAGGAGTTTAGAGGGGGTTCTGGATTCGTGGTTACGCCTGATCTCGCTATGCAGCAGGAGGCGTCTTCTCAGACCAAATGCCACATAAGAAACAGGTCTCCCTGAGCATTGTCTGGGCCTGTGGCTGGAAACGAGAAGATCACGAACACTTGATTGCCAATCCTGCCGAGAGCTTTGTGTCAAGATGCAGCTTAGGCACCCAAAACGGAGTCAATCACGAAGGTTGGGAAGCAAATGAAGCGCGGCGCTGCTTGCGGGCTTTGTCTCCAGCAGGCTGGGTGTGGTGGAAGGTATCTTCCTGTTGAAGACCCTTCCCAACATCGATTTCAACGCCATTGCGCTTGTTTGCCTGTTAGTTGCGGACCCCAGTTTGTAGTTAGAGACTCCCATCTCGGGCAGTATGCCAGCAGCAGTTGCTTAGAATGGCCCTGCTTGAGGTGCTGGATTCTGTGCCTTGGCTGCAGTTTCATGAGCAGTTGTGTATGTCAATCTATCCATGTGAAAATCCCGAGCAGGAACTAACAAAACTTTAGTTTCAAGGCCTGCCATATCAGATTCAACAGCATTGAAGCGGGGGAACGGCCAAAATGCCATTTGCACCTGTGGCAAAGCTCACAGGATTAGCGTGTACAACGCTGCCATGCCATAGCCTGAAGGCTAGCGGAGTCCATTGCTTCCGGATACGATCAGATGGGACTGAAGCAGGCGGGGGGCCTGGGCTCCCGAGATACGCTAGGGGCATAAGGGATTGTAATAGGGCTGCGCGCCGCTTATACCACAATTGCGTATGAAAGGTCGTAAGGGCAGAATCTTACTATCTATGCTGGCTTCCAGCTTCCGGGTGTGTAACTTTCGGGATTTCAGGTTCGGTCCAGTCCAGTCGGGTTTGGCGGGGTGGTGGCTCCGTGTATTGAGCTATGATCCTCCCTGGGCTCCAACCCACAATCTAGTGATCTGAACAAGGGAATTTGATCCGCTATATAATCCCCATATAACTAATCCCCATATAATCCCTAGATAATCATATAACATTTTCTCCTTGGAGCTTGGAAGGCTGCAGCAAAGCCGTCTGCTTCCCTTGCATGGGGCGGGCTTCTGCCAGGATGTTTGGCAAGGCCATGCTTGGAGTAGGGTTTAGGGTGTAGGTTATATAGGGGATAACGGAAAAGAAAATGGAAACTCCTGTGGTATATTGGAGTTCTATGGGGATACTACTACAATGGGGTTATGTAGGGTTTAGGGTTCAGGGTCCCTATCGAAAGCTCATGCTTCACACACCTCTCTTGGTTCACCACGACCAAGGGACATGGCCCAATTTTCCCTTCGAGTTCTGGCATAATTAGCATTATGCTCCGGTGAAGTGAGCCCCGCAACCTCGAGCCACGGAATCCCAAGCCCAAACTGGCCATCCAGCTACCCAAAAAAACACATCCACATTCCTGAAGCACTGCGAACCTTTAGATATGCTCGGACAGGTCCGTGTCAACAAGGAGATCTGGGTGGCAACTTGCCTCTCAAACCTGCATTCTTTCCATGTGCTTTCGCACTTTCTCATCAGTACCAAGCTTCGCCGAGAAGTAAGGCCATGGGAAGCGAAGCTTGGTGGATGCACGAGAAGTGCATGACAGCCGAGGAGGTTGGGAAGACTCACTTATGGGCTTAAAATGCCTAACATGTATAGTCCCTACATGACCCTAAACCCAAAAAAGAGTTTCCATTTTCCCTTCCAGTATCTCAATATTGTCTGCAGGACCTGCAGAACATGCTGAGACCATCTCAGGCTTTGAGCCCTATGTAGGGGGTTAAGGATACGATAGTGGCAGGATTTAGGGTTTAGGGGTAGAGTGGCAAAGAACATGGAGACGGCAATATTGCAAAAATAGAGTTTATTAGGGTTATATGGGGATATACTACCCCAATAACGGACATCAGAAACAAAAGGAAGGGAACATGGAACATGAAATTGAAACCCGGGATCCTTTTATATATATCAGCTTAGATCATCCCTGGCTCCCCGACCCCTTAGGGTTTAGGCCGCGGCAAGAACAGGTCACGGAGCATTCGGAATTGGTGAAGCAAGGAGCTCGGCAAATAGAAGCAGAGCCCTCTTGAATCGAGACCTGTTTGAGGGCTTTCGACTTTGCAGCGTCGAGTTTTTGTTGGGCATATATGCTATAGCAGTTTCCCAATTTATTTCCCATTATCCCCATAGAACCCCAACATACTATGGTAGTTTCCATTTTCTTTTCCATTATCACAATATAGCCTAGGTTGAAGGACTCAGCAAGCGTAGGATGTTTTCCTTGCCATCCTATGCGTGAACGCCTGGTGTCGCTATACGATAATTACATGATGTTTGGGTGCGGGCTAATCCATGGGCTTAAGTTTGCTTCGGGTTATACGGATTGGCTCCTGAAGCTTCTTTTCAATGGGGTGCCCTGTGATTTGGTTCTCGTCGTCACTTGCCTTCTTCTCCCCTTTATGACTGCACAAATCTAGGTCGACTGGCTTGGAAGACAGCCTGAAAGCGAACGCCAAGCTACCGAAGGGCTGGGTGAGTCACCTCGCGTCCATTGAGAAACCGCTTATATGGTTTGGGTTTAGTCCTTACCGATCTGAGTGCCCCTCAGGCCAGGTCTGGTGTCTTGAAGCTTTGTATTAGTAGGTTTGGGTTCAGGCTTAGGGTGAGCTTCAACTATCTTCGAACGATGCTTTGACATTTCACGAGGCATAGTGAGAATCCTTACTGAAGCATACGGCTGAACCGTTTTCCTACAGAGCCTGGGCAAGCAAGGTAAGATCTCGAAGACCACGGGCAAGGTCTACTACGTCAATGATCCCTGGCACGCTCAATGGTTGTCTTTTGAAGCTACGGTTCTGATTGTGGAAGTCTTGTGAATGGTAGTTTTCTGGCGATGCGTAAGGGAGCCCGTAAGGTAGTAGCTTTGGGAATCAGAGGCTTCAAAGCTTAGTCTCTCAGGCCTCAAAATGAATCTAGCTTAAGCATTCCCAACAATTCCTAGTACTGCCAATACAGGCTACTATGACATGAATTTCTGGAGGGGTTCTGGAGGGTCCTGATGCTGGAGGGTCATCCCACTTTGCTTGGGAAGCTACACTCTCGAGAGAGAGTGCCACATTAATGCGACGTCTCAGCGTCCTCAAATGTCTTTTTCATTTCGCGGCTGCCTTTGTTCATTTTTCTGCTCTTGCTTTGAGGAAGCATTCAAGTCGAACAAGAATACAGGCGGCTGTGTTAGGTAGGGCTCCTGGAATTCCCAAAAATATGTTACTCCAAGGATACAGCAACAACCCTGTGCATGAATTGCACTTATGATCCCATTGTTGTAGCAGGATTGGAGGTATCTTCGACATCCCTCTCCCCTGATCAAAAACCCCAACCTGCAAGCAATAGATTCCCTCAATACACTACCATCACAGACCAAGGGATGTATTTTCAGCGGGGTCGTACTTGATTTTTAGTTGAGGCTAAGTGTGCTGTTAAAGCACGAAGCAGATCGGAGCTCGCATGGGCAAGTTTATAAAGAAAGGTTGAGGATTCAGGCTAGGGTTTAAGGTTCAGGATTTAGGGTTAGGGTTTAGGGGATTATAGAAAAATGGAAACTATTATAGGGTTTAGGGTTTAAGGTTTAGGGTTGGGGTTTAGGGCGTTCTTGGCAAAGGAATACCAAGGGCGGACGTATTGTATTCCTTGTGTTTTAAACCTAGTCCCAAAGCATCCGCCGATATATCCCCCTGCACTGCAACTCGGTCGGGGGTGGAAAATGTTGTTTAGGGTTTTAAACAGACTGAAACCCGAAACGGAAACACAAGTAATTTTGAACAACACTCCGAATTCCAACGTCGCACCGGGTACTTCTACACAAAATGTTGGCTGTGGCTCGCATCGCTCCTGCTACTAAGGCGAAGAAGGGCAAAACCCAATGGACCTTGCCAGAGGAGGAGGTTCATTGGGATCCAAACCCACCGCAACGGAAACTTTACACTTGAACTTAAGGCGTCGCTGTCGTTACGACCTGCTCCTGCATTTGTTACCGGACATGTCTGCGTGGTTGCGTTAGTCAGCGCTAGCAAGCTTGAATGGAATTTGCAGTGGGTGGGTATCTCCAAGCTTGTCGCAGCACGAACTCTTGCTGACCTAAGTCTTTTCCCACAATTTAGGTTGGGCTGCATGGTGCTGTGCCAGCTAGCTACTCACCTTCGAGGGTCAAGAGAGTAGCAGTTTAACAGTTTAGTTCCCATTTGGCATTCTACTTTATGGGTCCTGTAGGGATGTATTGGACAAGAGAGGCCGAAAAAGAGCCGCCCGAGCCCGAGCCCCCCCAGCCGGAGACATTGGAGCAGACTGCTGAGACTCAGAAGGACGGCGTCTTGAAAGTAAGCTTGGACTCATTGGGAAGAACCTTGCTATCAGGGCTAGTATAAGACGAGTGCTAACGAAATGAAATGCAAATGTGTGGTAAGTGTACAGGTCAGTATGGTCAGCTGCGTTTTGGGCAATTTTGCGCACCACAAAAGGGTCATACCCGACAGTCCTGGTAATCTCGGAGTCACTCGTATCATGTAGGTGGACCCGCCACCCTGTAATTAAGAGTCCTAAACAGGAATATAAGAGGACCCTAGTATAATCCTTATGAATTATCCTGAATGGTCACTATTGCAGGGTGGGGGTCCCTGAAACGTAGCATGCTGGTATCACAGCATCTTTAGCACAGCATGTTTAGCACAGCATCTTAGAAGAGACTCGTGATTTGTTGAGCGCCCTTTCTGCGCAATGCCATGTATTGATTACCTGGAGTGCACCCTAGGCTTTAGACCATAAACCATAAACTCCACACTCCCCACTCTGCAACAGTTGGATCATAGTTGTAATACGGTCATGTATCTGTATATCGCCCTGCATATGACCCCTAAGATAGACTGCTACAGGGTGGGGGCAGTAATCAACTGAAACCCTAAATCCTAAAGCCTAAATAGTAGCTCCCATTTTCCATTATCCCTATATAACCCCTATATGACCCCTAGCCTATATCCCCCTGAAGTGGCAGGATGACGCGGCCGAGGATGGCGCTGGAGTGGAGCAGCAGGAAGAGCTCACCGAGCTCTAGCACAGGGCAGCAAAACAGCTGATGAGTTACTGCCAATATAGGGGACTAAGAAGCGATTATATATGGGACGACAGACTATGGACCTTATACAAATTGATGAGCCACTGCCCCCAATAATCCAGCATCAAATGGAAAAGAAAATGGAAAATGAATTGGAAACGCGGATTATGTAGGGGCTTTGGGGATTATGTGAGCTGCTGTCTATATTAGCCTGATTAAGGGACCCTTAACAGTGGACATACGGGTCCTCCTGTACTTCAGAACAAAAAAATAAACACTCTTACCACTTCAGTATAGTCCCTGATATATTCCCTACTAGGAACGCATGTCCATTGGATTGTATGGGAAATATTGGGAAATGGTGACTGCAGCTTAGTATACTCCCTAATTAACCGTAGCTCTGATGAGCTTGCAAACTGTGTGGTCCGCAAGTGTGCGTGGAGCATAATGACGGATACCTTCTGTATTTCCCGGTAGTACGACTACATACCACTGCCGCAAGTTGAGGCAGAAGCATATGTAGAAGTGGTGGCAGAGGTATGGTGGCATCAGCAGGCATTGGGAATAACAGGCCTTGCTGTAGTTTCTTTATGACACAATTCAAGATGCATCTCAGCATAAGCTATTCATCAAAAAGCATCTTGAACAGCTTACTGGTGACTGTGGCTCGAAGTCCCGCGCAGTTGCGCAGTGGTGGGTTCCTGGGTTTGTGTTTGCGTCTTCCTTGTTGCCATGCCCCGGCAGCGCGGGCCCCAGATACGTGCTGATAAGCAGGGTCTTAAATAATTTCAGCAGGATTTTGCGGGCAGATTCTGCCATAATCACATAAGGACTATATGGGGATCAGATTGGTAGTTCTTTGGGCTTCTACAGTAGACCAATGCCAGCCTTGCAGCTTAAGCCTCAACAACTCACGTAATGAGCGGTTTCGGTTACTACCCCCCGCCCTTACCATAATGGCCCTGGAGCATATAGGGTCCTCATTTTGGGACGGAAGCCGAATCTTGAAAGCCAGCCACTGGAGGTATCGGCTATCCACGGCATCGGCTTACAGCATCTATGAAATGCGCCCCTGCAGGGTCTGGGTGCTCCTTTTTGTTATCCTATAGCTGGGTAGGCCGCTGGGATAGTGAATAGTTTCCCTGATGGCTTCAGTAGGGGACCCAATATGCGAACATTTTTCAAGGGGCGTTAGGGACTAACCCAGATAAGGGAGTCAAGCACAGCATATAGAATATCGCGTGCATAGTTCAGGTAGGGCTTTTCACCCCAAAACAACATGCCACACAGCCCCGTCTTCAAGGCTTGGGGGCAAGCCAAGGAGGTCTGTCCAGGTAGTTGAAGGCCCTAGGCCGACAGTCAGTCTGGTTCTTGGGGTTTATGATCGATTGGGAAAGACAAATGCTGAGGAGTATAGCCAGCATTGTCATGAAGTCTCCGGAGATAAGCGCAAATGCTCCAAAGCTCAGTTAGGGGCCTCAGGGCAAGAGCCTTGGGAAGCCGTGTGATGTGCCGGTAGGGGGCCCATGTAGTGCATTCTCAAACCCAGAAACCCGAAGATTCACACATCCCTTACGATGCATAGAAGCAGTATAACTTTTGAGGCACCAGCAACTTCCAAGATAATCTAGAAGAACGTTAGCAACAGTGTGAGCACACCCATACAGGCCCATTTAGCGAATCAAGAGCAGGGTGAGGCGGCGTCTGAGCAAGAAAACAGTCATTCTGGTTGTTTTTACGAGGTAGTGCAGGTTGATTTGACACGCTCGGCAGCACAAGGATAGCACCTCCGACATAAGGAATTGTAATAAGATGATGGCATATCCTTGGGATCTCCATCCCTTCACTTGAGACTTACGAATAAGAGAATATCATATAGGGATTATATGACCTTATTCTCCACTAACCACCAGTGAGATAAGTCAGGCCGTTAGCGGATACCTTGGTATGTGTACTCGGTGGATACCAAACTAAAAAGTCTGCATGACACGCCTGCATGACACTAAACGTTTTCTACCTAGGGAATTATAGTACATAGTATATTGTGAGGTCATACCGTATTCGCGTATCAACCTTATAAACCCCTGTATAATCCAGTTTCCATATCATGTTCCAGCTGATTCTCCATGATTGGGGGGATAATATGCCTATATAACCCCATATAAAGCCAATAGATTCACTTATTATGCTATGTTAGCTTCCATTTTCTGTTCCACTATACCCCTGTATATCCCTTAAACCCTTTTCCGCTATACCACCAGAAATATGATCAGCCGGAGGTACTCTGAGGATTGGGCAGCCCTCCCGGACCATGAGCAGGAAGCCAAGCTGGAGGCCCATCTCCTACACATTAATTTGGGGTTTAGGGTGTAGTTAAGGCGGCATCCATCGAAAGCCTGTTGCGTGAAAGGGCTTAGTAAGGAATGCCCTTGAGTTTTTCCAATTAAGCGGTGTTTAGGGTGTAGAGTTTAAGGCTTGTAGGCTCCCATCCTATTCTTCAGCTAATGTGTAGAGGCTGAAAGAAGTCGAAATAACATTTCTGATAAGACTGATGTCTTTGCAGTATAGCATACCCCCCATACCCTATTCCACGTGTACAGTCCCCTACATGATGTCCCTTTTCCCTTGCTTCATGGTGTTTGCCATGCTGAAGGGTGACTTGGACAGACAACATATGCGCTGCATCGAAAATTGGCAACGTACTTCCATCACGAGCTGGGAGGCGTGCCTTTGGGGGTGGTTACAACGTTTGCCTGACGCTGCGTGAGAAAGCCCGCATCGATGACCCAACTCAGTTGAATAATTGGCATGACCTGTAATTAGTGAGTTTGCTTGCCCAGTGTTGGTGGATCGCGCGGTTGCCCTAAGCTTCTGAACCGGCGATCTGTAGAAGGCTCCAATTCCTGCACGGTGTTTTGGAATCAAGGATGAGCGGTCTGATGATCTTCTTCTGGCTTGCTGTTAAGGAATTGAATTCAAGTTACCAGAATTTGGGTACATAGTAAACAATAAGGCTTCATTACTACAATAGTTTTCAGCAGCAGCCAGTTTTCCTGACTTGCCAGTGCTACACCTGCAGTTCACGTACGGCATCTCAAACAGCTCAGAAGGTTCCATGGAATTGATTACCAACTGCTTTGAAGTGCCAACTTGGGCCACTTCTGCCAACCTCACCCCACGTGGTGCTTTATATCGAAAATGGTCCCAAAATCCGGTTGATTTCAGGAATTGTTTGGCGAATGCAGGCCCCATGCCTGTCGGACAAGGCGGGTTTCATGGAGCAGTCGCCTCAGCCTGTACGCACCCAGGGTTGGCGGGGACCCGCTTGAATCCCAGGGTTTGTGGGGTAAGCCATGTTCCTGCACAGGCGCTCCACTGCTTGAGCATTAAGCCATACTACCAGCATTCATAATGAACCTTGCCATATGGCAACTCTGCAAATGTTATTAGCAGCGAAGATGGGAACCTGCTTTGGGAAAGTAACCTGCAAGTAAAGTTCCACTTCTCCGCAGGCTCCATATCCTCGAAACCCCACGGCAGTTGTTAATAAGTCTGTCTCGGCACGGAGCCATATGATCAGCACAAGAGTCTGAAGAGGCAACCGTATTTTTGCCACGCACCCCGTGTGTGAAAGGTGATGTAGCCTGCATTTGTGGCTCGTTTACCACTGGCTCGTAGGGAATGGATGAGTTCATCCCTTTGAATCCGATATACCTTTAGCTCATTCCTTCAATGAATGAGTTATTCCCTGCTAACCACAAGTCAGCTTGACATTCGGTTCCTCGAGCAATTGCCAGGGATGAAGTTGATATTCACGTCATCAGCTCAGTGCTTCCCACCTGTACTTATCCGCTTCGCACAAGCGAGCTGGAGGGCCTTCTCCTATGGTCGTGAAGCCAGGCTTTGTACGCACAGTTGCAGGCCCCACCCATATGGCTGGCCTGGGCAAATCAATGTGGGACTGGTTTGGGCCCATGCAGCAGCAATCAAAATGAGAAACACCAAGACTTGAGGATACTGGGAGGGGGGCCTGAGGCCACAAACTGGCACGGAGGGTCATGTATGAATACGCTTGAATAAGCATGACGGGTTTCAACCTGCGGTCGACATAGTGTCAGATCATATTTTCCTGACAGCCCCAGTCATCCTTCAGAGGAGGGTGTGTCCTGCTTTCATCATCAAATGTGCTGTTACCGCATTGGGGGCTCCAGGTGTCGGAGAACACAAGGGCGCGCAAAACAAGCTTTGATTTCCCAGCGCCTGACCTGAAGTTTGCTCTTGTTTTCAAGCCAACCTTCCATTCATAGACCGACCAGTCAAAAAGAAGCAAGCTTCAGAAGTCTCAAACCCCAAAGTCCCTCAGAGTTCCTGGCAGAAAGCGCTTGCACTGCATTTGTTGGCGCAATGGCGTCATGGCTCCATGGACGATCCGCCCACTTCTCAGCCATCACCACCACCAGCAGCACAACTACTGCCACTGCAGCCTGAGTAGTAGTGATGATGAGGGCAGCTGACTAGCAAATCCTGTCCGAATTGTTGTGGGGTCTTCCCGGACTGACGAGGATTCGAGGTTTATTAGAGAAAGGCTGAAACATCTCCACAAGATTCCTAAACAAGTGCCTCAGTCTCTTTGCAAGACAAGTCTTACCTTCATGCGTCCTACAGGGCTCCATTTCGAGCAGGGATCATGTAAAGACGTGTCACTTGCAAGCCGGGTATCAATTTGACGGCTGGAGGGCCTTGAGCTCGAGTGCGAAGTACGAGCAGCACGCGTTGCACTTGTTAGCGTGAACAAAACCCACTTTGAAAAGCAAGGGAACTGATGCAATCCAGTAAGCACACCGTTACGCAGAAGCTTCAATCATGGGCAAGTACGGAAAGAGCGTTGTCGATGGGATGTACTAACTTGTTCCGGATTTTACATCTGAAGCCTTCGCCAAGGGCATTTTCCCGTCATCCTAAGCCTCGAGCTAGTGGCCTAGGATTGCTTTCTAGAAAGGTTAGATGTCATTCGAGGGTTTAGAGGTTCATCTACTTGTGCAATCGAGTCGATTGTGCAAGGCTATCCAGTGCAAGTTGGGCAGAGCAGGGGTCTGGGCCAGCGCGTCCAAGCTCCATGGTGTGTTGAGCGGGGAGGCCCCAGCACAGTGTAGTGACTATGAATTCTGCCAAGCTGGGCAGACGCCCACCACAACTCCAACCCGGCCCACAGCCATGGCGTTATAATTTGCAGCGGAGGTCGGATCTCGTGATGCGAGTCGCGGTTCGGTGTTGTGAAGGCCGGCAAATGGTTGTACAGATGCTTGACGGCCGGGAAGGATGCTAAGAATTGGCAGAACACTCTACGCCAACAGTGCGGGTACGGTACTAAGCTACTTGGTACTTCTTCCGATAAACGCGAATTCCGGTTGAGCATTTGCGGTTCTAGAATGGCCTGCTTCATTGTCTATGGTCAGGGTGCACACATCAACAAACGTATATTTTTCACGACCATGACCTGGAGCGGGGCCATGATGTATGCCCCTGCCGCAAGTCACGCAACTATGCAGAGGGTCTAGGTATCTGACCGACAGAAGAAAAGCCTAGTCAACCAGCAAAAGGATGGGTTAGAGTGTTTTTGTAGGGGCTAAATGGGTATCATAGGGGGTCAGGGTCAGTCTCCCTAAGTCTCCCCCGTAAACGACGTTACACTGTACCTAGCAGCGCAGTTCCTAGTTCGAAGGTTGTCTCACTCCAACCATCCTTGGGTTCTGAAGTTGAGACAACAGGAAACTCTCGTAGTCCTTGAACCCCTAGGTTGGATAAGACATGACAGTGAACTGCGCCCTTCCACCAGGTAGATACACAAATTTCCAAAACTACCCACGACATCCATCCAAGCAAACTTGCTGGCTGTTAGTAGGGAATGGTTAAATGGATTCGTATTACAGTCCCTACATACGTACCACTTATATGCATAGCAGTCTCCATTTTCTTTTTCTTCATGCTCCACCAGCAACCAGCAAGTAAAGATGGCTTTAGATCAGACACCCTTGCTGTGCGCGTCGTCAGGGCTCTGCACTCGATGATGTCGAGAGAAGACGGGCCACGTGTCTGCATTCCCTTACACCCTCCCCATTCCGGTTTTGGGGCTCCCCGTAAAATCTGCCGCATTCCCCCAGGAAACTAGTCGAGTGAATGCACAACAAACATGGGATTCTGAGCACGAGGACGGCCAGACCACACAAAGCATGCGAGAATTGTGCGACGTCCTCATGGCTACTACCCAAACGCTCTAGCAGTCCTTGAGTGCGGTTTTAGGGAATAGAAAAATCGATCAGGCTCGCCTCCTCTTCGGTCTTATCCTTGAATCGTTACCAACAGGTTAGGGTGTTTCTGAATATGAAGAATAATAGTAATTACAGGGAACAGCAACCCCCGTATGTGGAGATTCCCACAATGAACCTTGCCGATATGGTTTTCTTACACGGTCAGCAAGTCTGTCTTGATGACTCCTATCCCTTGTCGCCACGCCCGCCCCTTCACGAAGCCTCGTTGCTTCATGTGCCTTATCTGGGTCATGGTTGAGAACTACACTTGCTCTCCGGTATGCTAAAGCGCAAGAAGGAATAAGCTTCTAAAACTTCCCCAAGACGAAACCAGTTGTAGGCAGGCTTGTTATCATTTGTTGTCTGGCAAGACCTCCACGCCACTTTGTCCCAGTATCCCCTTCCAGCCCAGGGAAAATTCTATGCATCTCTGGCAGATTGTCGTGGTCTAGCTAGGGGTCATTGGGATCTTCAGCAGATGCTGGGCGCCCATGTAGAAGCTCCATAGTGAGGAGAGTTATCCCTTCATAAGCTTTAAAATACTTGTAGCAGAAAACACCATACAGCTAACAGTGCTTGCAAGAGTCCTTGGACTCAGGCCGCGTCATGTTGACATCTCCGTTCCTGGACAGGCAAAGGGATAATCTTCTGGGTGTGATGTTTGCATGCTATAAGCACTGAGGGACCTGAATTCAAGGTACAAGCGCTCAGGGGCTTTAAGTTTCTCAGTTTGGGCCATAACCATCCTGGGAGCTTCTGGATTAAAGCAAGAATTTGCCTAGTTGTCATGATTGGTTGATTGGTCACCTCTGGAAGCTGCCTCAACCCCGTGGCGGGCCTTTCTCCGTAAGCATATGCTAGTCTAATCTAGCCTCCCAGACCTTCAAAGGCATGTAGGATTCCACTGCCCAATCGACAGGAATCCCAACAGAACTTTGAATCAACCCCCCACATAATTCCGGTCTCAGAAGTCTTGATCTTGATGAACAAAAAGCAGTGTGGGACGCTCTCCAGTCTGCAGTGGCTGGATTACGTGGGAAGGTGCCGCTTCCGCCTGACGACGCGGCAGACAACGAGCTGGATGCCGACTATCCATGGTTGTCGGGGCTTCTCAAGATACGGTATGATGTCTTTGGGGTCCCTTTCATGCACGCGTTACAGGGCGCATAGGGTTGCGTAGGGTTGATAAGATTTTCAGAGATGCATGTAAGGCAATAATCTTAGGGCTGAGAACACTCCGGATTATTGCTCCTGCACATCCTTATCAGGCTTACATCGTCCTAGCTTTTCACAGTGATGCAGAACAGGAGCATGTGACAAGTGCAGTCCCCGTACGCCTCCTAACCTAGTCTGAGCCTTAATAGATTCACTTGCCTAAAGCGAAGCATGGATAGTTCCGTGAGTGAAGGGCTCTGGACACAGTTGAACCCAAGAGGAGTTCTCCGAGCCCTTTAGAAATACTTCAATGTTTGGGGGTGGGGGTGCTCTCATCGACGTCCGCACGGGAGGCATGACGTCCGCATTGGGCAGAATCCAAAATCATTTCTCCGCAGCCAGAAAGCAACAATCGGCACGTAGTGGTGGCTCGCAGGCAGTTCTTTTGGACTGTAGAAGTTCTCTCGAGAAAATGCGCATAAAGGTACACCAATTTCAAGAGCCCGCGACAGGGGCGGGTACATTTGACATGCCCTAAACCTGGAGCCCTAGAGCTTGAACCGAAACACTAGGCAAGAATCCTGGGTTCCCTGCATGTCAGGGTTCCTTGCATGTCAGGGTTCAGGGCCTGGGGTGTTGGTGCTGTCCAGGCAATGCCTTGCAATTCAGCCACTTGGCCCGAAGGCAACGAGTTGTATGAACCCAACCTGAAGAAGCATTAGTCAAGCCCATTCCCATGCTGTCAGGACAAGTTCTGCATACTGTCTCAAAAACTCAGCAGGCGTTTTCCTATGACAGGCTCCTTCAAGAAAACAACCGCTTGACAGCCACGGAACTCTCCAGGTTGTGGGAGAATCTACCATACTTGAAATAACAAACTCCCATGCCAAAAGCATGCAAGGTTTTCCAGAAGCAGGCCTTCGGGCTTGGAAGGTTTGGGTTGCTAGGTTTAGCAAAGCCGGCACAGCTCCGAACTGCAAAGGGCTTAGGTTGGGAAGAAGTCTCCCACCCCACTCTCAACCTAATCAGCAAGCGATGAGAATGATAGACCGAACCTGAAGTTCTAGGCTGGGGCATTGCTAGGAGATGAACGGGATCCCTCCCCACGGACGACGAAACAAGTACAGGGAGTAAATGCTGCATGCGCTGGCGATGGCGACGGCTCGTTGTTCCCAGCCTGGCGTGCGTCGCAGGACTACGGGAACAGCACCGCAACGGCAAAAGTTGCATCAGCAAAACCATGGTCAGCAAGGTTTGGATGCACATGTGCCTCTCCCACTGAAACTAAGAATCTAGACGCCAGAGCTGGTGCATTCTTGCAGGAGGCGTGACGCTGCTGGCGCTGTGGAAGAACTTCAGCTGGCTCGATGGCTGGGGCCGATTAGGCGAGGCATCGTTGTCTGTTCGTTGGCACCAGTATCACTTCTAGAGAGGTTCGTCACTACTGCACTGCTGAAGCAAATTCTGATTGGTCCTTCACACCTTCAGGGTTTCAGATTCTGACGAGTCTTAGCTGGACAGGTGCGGAGCATGAAGCGTCGCTGGAGGCGTTGAAGGTTCGAATCCAACGCTTGGAGAAGGACCACCAGGACCTCAGTCCACCATCAAGCTTCGCATGCGCCGGATATCCAGTAGGAGTCATGGACCAGGTTGGCAAGAGGTATCCTACATATCCGAGAACTTCAAGCCCAGAAGTTTGACATGTTCCTGCTGCATGGAAGTCAAATAGGAGAACCCCCGTACATTCTTGGAATACGCCTAGATAAGAGTACCAAAACTTACTTGGATGATCTCTTGACTTAGTATGTCTACCTACTATCTCCAATAGGCCCTACTATAAGCCCCATACCCCTTTACTAAGTAGACTCATTAGTTCAAGAGACCCTCCAAGTATTGAGCGAGTGCAGACCTGAAGCACAGCTTCGGAGACTTGAGCTGCGCAGGAGGAAGTGGACGACTTGCGGCTGGAGATATCCAAGTTGAGGCAGGTCCTCTTTATTATACCTAATACAAATACGGATGCTATTGCTAAGACTCTTACTAATGCAAATATTACCATCATGAATATTATTCCTAGCAGTATTAGTATTACAGGCTTAGTGTGTTGTTGGCCCAGGGGTGCACCACCCCGGTTGTGGTCATGTCAGTTGGTTTTATTAAGTATGCCAGTCAATTACCATCTCACAGGCTGCAGAAGCACTTTTGAGATTCAAGGAACCCTAAGTATGAAACGCGAAAAAAAAGAGAGTAAAGCCACATTCATGCAGTTCGTCTCGCTAGTAGATACGCGAATGTAAGTCGGAGCTGGGGAGGAAAGAACTGCCCGTGTACTAGACCTAATCACCGGAATCGTCAGCAGGTAGGATTGAGTGTGGCCAGTAGTAGTGCTTGAAATCAGGTCATGGCTGTCGTCGAAGACCTCAATGCAAAAATGGACTAAGCGTCCATCCTGTCGATAGTGGTGCTGAAGTCCCATAATTGGGAAGGTCCACGGTGCTCAAAAGCATGCGGGATTACTATTATCAAGCAAGGAACTGGCAGTAAGCAACCGGCTTGGCTTCACCTGCAGGGCTGCCATTGCGGCGCAACCTCCACAGCCGCCAGTGGCTGCTGCAGCTCTTGCAGACAAGGCCTCCATACCCCGCCCCAAATACACAGAGAGCCCACAAAGGCCGCGCAAAGGACAGACATCTTTATGTCTTTGAATTCAAGGAGTTCAGTCTTAGCTTGGGGAAGGTGCAGGTGACGAGTGGGACTGGGACTCCTTCAGACTTTTTGCCCAATCTTGCTCCTAGACTGCTCAGCTGTGACTTGCGGAGCCGCATCTTAATTGATTCCCAAGCAGCTAGGTCCAAGATCCTGAGCCAATTGAATCACCTACAGTCCCGTCATCTTAGCCCCACACCCAATACATTCCAAAACCTGCAATAGGTGGCTTCCGAGTTTCTGTTAGTGCATGGAGCTAGATCCCCGCGTGCGCTTGAGACTGTTAGGGGTCCTTGTTCTCCCCCCCTGATGTAATGAAAAGGGCGTTTCTTGCACCCAGGGGATGGGCAAACATACAAAAGCTGCATCTCTTGAAGGCGTCTTCGCAAGCCACTGAGCTGCCCGATGAGCTTAAGCCCACAACAGCAACTTGACTACAGGGTCCTCGGGCATGGTAAGCTTCATTTTCTTCATCTTTACCATCCGCATCACTACCAACAGCATCAGGCGCATCCTTGTCATCATCGCCATCATGTACATCGTGGCTGTTGCTACCATCACAATGGTCACAACTGCAGTCATGCTTAAATGACGATGAGGCTGAGAGTTCTGCCGGCTGAGTAAAGATGGAAAGTGTCAGGATACAGGGTGTGCTTCTCAAGCCAACACATGTTGGAGCAATGTCGACAGGCGACGCCAGAGAAGGTGGGACACCTGACGAAGAATACGCCCAGCCTTTGCAACATCTTCGTCATGTGGAATTATCCCAGTGGGCCGCCGCTGCAGCTCTGCGGCATTGATTTCTGGGTAGCTGCAATATACACGGCATCCCATTTCTGGACCCCCTCACACAGAGAAGGCTTCTGACACAGAAGACGGGTGAGATAGTCTTGATTCCTAGGACGGGGAGCCGGGTATGTGTCAAAACTTGTCACTGTGTGCCCTTGGTATTTCTTTGCTCAAAGTGGCTGAGAAAAGCTGCTTTGGGTGGTTTGTCTTTGATGGCTGAAGAGCTTGGCTTAGCCTCGTGTAGCGACTGCCTTATGGACAGCATGCACTTCATTCCAGATGCGCAAATGCTGTGTTTACTTCGTCAGATATAAACCATGTAAGGTCCTCGGAGGCTTCCTCCCTCCACAGTAGTACTGCTTATTGTCTTACTACTGGTGAATCCAGGAATATGCGTTTCAGCACAGCTCCGCCTCATCCCGACACCCACAAAAAGTCCCAACTTGTCAACCTGGTTGGATTCTAGGATACTTGGTGCATCTGCCTGTTGAGCTTTAGGAATTTCAGGCCTTGGAAAGCTTAGGTTCATATCCAAGAACCTGGAGTCGTGGATCCACTACTCAAACAGACGCTGCCATTTCCCCTGGATGATCAACGACACGAACATCCGAGCCCCTTGTCCCAATCAAAGTCCGTCTAGCTCAAAACGGGGCCCTCACCGGGAGGATCCTGATAATGGTTACCACGTAATTTTGAACAACCTTAGTTGTCAAGCTTGTTTTGAGGGGCGGAGGGACCAGCAGCTATCGAAAGCACAACCGTAAAGAGCTCTGGATGAACTGGGTTGCTGTGTTGCTGTTCAGGAATTTACCTTAAGTTGCTATATCGGAAACCGTATGAATCATGGCAAAAATCTCTATTCTGGCAACTTAGTTTGAGTTCCTTGACAGCAACCCAGTGTAAAGCTGTTAGAAAAGCTACGCAGGCCTTCATCCCGGATCTGCCCCTGGAGTTTGAGCGCATGCCCTACGATGCTGCCAAATCAGATATTGTCCGGTGCCCTCAGTGAATTGCAGCCGTCTAGGGTTTATAGGTCTGTCAGTTATACTAATCTTTTTTGGGGTTCGGGGTCAAAATATGCTTGGGGAGTCCAAAGTCGTGGTGCCTTAGCAGCATCTTATTGCGGGCCCTCATTTCCAAGAAATCTGATCTTTACAAGACACCCCTCCCCCAAAACCCTAGGGAAGTCCTGGGATTAGGAGATAGAGGTTTCTGATGTATGCATCCATGAACGGAGTCGCAAAGTAGCGACTGTGTTGGTCGGAACCCTTTGTTTCTAGGTACGCCCTGCTGTATCACCACGGGGGAATGTACCTGGACACGGCCCGGCTCTCAGTTCATATTTCTTCAAGTCTGGATTGGAGCAAATGCTGTTCATCGCAACCAAGCCTCATCGCTTCAGATGAAGGGAATATCCCCTTAAGTAGATAGAATATGGCTTTGGGTATGTTATAATCAGATCCCCATATACCCCATGTTCTATTTACTGAAGGGGGACCATCAACCCATCTGAGATGGAGATCTTGCCTCACGATGGTCCCCAAACCAACTCTCAACTGGGTTGCTGTGAAGGAACTTAATTTACGTTACTATATTGGGGAACCCCTATTATCTACTATATATTGCCAACATTGTAACTTAATTAAAGTTCCTTAACAGCAACCCAGTTCAACTTTCAACTGCTGAATTGCTTGGCTTCCTGGCCGGGTGCCTGTAGGGAGTGATCTGTTTGGCTCTGCATGAAAATGTGGACCTGAGGGGTGCCCCAAAACGGAACCATGATTCAAAAACCTCTCCCATGCTGGACCCGCATCATCAATGGTCCCTGCTGCACGCTGCCCCATTCCTGTTTGAAAGGACTTCTTGGTGGCAAAGGACCTATCGCCCATCTTGGACAGGATCGAGGACCCAACACGGCTGTTCAGATCCAAGGTTAACGTCTAGGGTTTGAGGTTTAGTGATTTCAGGTTTATGTTCGATTTGCGACATTACTTTTTGAAAGAAGACCTTGTAGAACTAGCTGCTTCTCATGCTTCACGGCAGTGCGGCTGTCCGCGCGCAAAGCAAGATTAAGATCAACTGTTTTCAAGGGACCTCTTCCAGCGTGGACTTTCAACCTGCAGACAGTAATCGTAAAACCGCAACTAACACGGGAGATCTTTGCACAACCTCCGGGGCCCCGAACTGCACGCTCAGCATCAGGGCTTGTCGTTCTATGATGCGGTCCTCACACAAACCCCGCAGTCTCATGGAATCCCGCCTTGTATTCACAGCGTTTCATCACATTTCGGCCCGCGCTCCTCCCCGAAATCGGCCCCGAGATAGTCCCAATATGCACAAGAAGGATCATGACCTCATCTCCTACACGACCTCTGGACAAGCCTGCCGCAGAGGAAGCTTCAGTGTCCTGGAGGCTGAGTTCAAGGATTGCATAGCATTCGGCTGTAGGGATTATGGAGGGATTTGCGGCTTGACGATGAGGGTCCAGTGCATGGGGACGATGCGGATATAGGATTGCTAGGTCTGGCAAAGGCAAAGACCCCTGATTTGTAAGACCAAGATTTCAGCAACCAAGGCTCCAACTTCATTGCTGGCCGCAAGGGCAGCTCCCTGTACAAAGAGGTCTGGGAGGCTCAGAAGCATGCGCCTTGGCAAGACGTAACGCTTTTTGCTATGAGGCAGAAAGGTTTGGGGGCTCAGCACTTTATAGGTTTAGGCATATCTGCTAGCTTGAAGATGCATGCCCGCACCAGAGGGTCTGAGTTCACCCTGAGCAGCTAGGCCATGTACAAGGTATTTGGCTAGTGGTGACGAGCCTCGTAGTGAAGCCTGGGCCTAAGCTCGAGGCCATGTTGGCAGAAGCAGCAACTAAAGCCTGGGGTCTCAAGGATTAGCAGGTTTCTGAGGGCGATGAGCGGCGCTTCCTCGAGGAAGATTCCCTCCAGAAAGGATTCCGCACAAACTGCTTGACTGTAACCAACCACGTCCTAGCTTCAGCTTTCGGGGTTGACAGGCGGAGCCCTTTAGACGTGTGGAGAAGCTTCTGAAGCCGAGGCCATGACTAGCCATTGTGATGACCGTGTCAAGGCCAACGACAAGAAGGCCGCCAAATGATATGAAATCATGAAAGCAGTGGAGGCAGAAATCCTCTAGGGTGTACAGCCCACATGCAGACAGGGCAGCACGATCATTCACAAGAGTTTCCTGGTCAGGTCAGGCCTGAGGTAGATGCTGAACCTGTGTTTCTTGTTTTCTGAAAAGGATTTTTCTTGCTGATTCAACTCTTAAGAAGCAGCTTGGGAATTGCCATTTCTCTCTCGCCATGGGTACAGCAATCAGAGCGGCAGCTTCAGCCACCAAACCGTTAATTTACCCCTGTATCCTGGAGACCTCCTTAGAAAACAGCAGTGTGGACTTCAACCCATGGGACAGGTATGCTGTGCAGATGATGTGACACGCCAGTGCCATATTCCTTGGGCTGGCATTGGGGAGGGTATCTCACACCCAGTGCTGCTTGGAAATACTACCTGTTACATGATGGTCCGAAGCTAGAGAGGTGGTCTCTTCGGCAACTAGCAACTTTGGAAGGACAGCTAGAAAGCCTCCAGTCGCCACAGCTTTGCTTCCCAGACCTATCTAAGGCTGAAGGGAATGCTGGCAAGAAACGCTCCGCTGAAGATTCATTGCTTTGAAGGCGTTGAGGGTCTGTACAGTGCGTACGGTTCAGGCCTTGAGGTTTTGGCAGAAATTGTGTGATTCAGGTCTTGGCATGCAAGGTCTACGCAGGATTCAGGGTGGGGGTCTCCGTAGTGTGTTATTTCTGGACATGGGGGTCCCCCCCACCTACTGTACCTCAAAACGGTCAAACCATGTAGGTTCTTGCGCTGGACATCAGGAGAACCCAACAATTTTATGACATGCCTCACACTCACTCTTACTCCTCAGAAGAGAGAGAGAGAGAGAGAGAGAGAGTGTGTGTGTGTGTGTGTTTGTGCCAAACTCTGTTCCAAAGAGCGTGTGTTGCTATCTGCGTTACTACTTGTTCATGTGCAGTCAGTCCAGTTTGAGCTCACCTCTGAAGTTTATGCAAGCCATGACAACGTCTGTGCAAGTATTCAATGTTGGACCAACATTCTGGTTGTGAAAAGCGGGGCGGGGGGCCACAGCATCAGATGCCAGACGGTGCCTAACAAAGATAGGAAAATTGATGGGAGGCAGGGACTGATCATCCCTGTGTACCTGCTGCCTCACCGTGAGCAGCCAAGTGCATTCATACAATGGCATTCCTTTTTTGCGAAGAGTGACAAAGAGAAAGACATGGAAATAAAGGGGTTGCAGCCGCCGCTCATTGGACTTCATGGTCCGCTCAAGTGCGAGTATTGTTGCATCGTTGACTAGGTTCTTGTTGCTTTCTCTGGCTCACTCCGGGACCTCCCCATTGTAGAAAGTAGAAAGTATAATGGGTCAAAGGATGTCAAAGAGAACTGTGGCAAATAAGCAAACACTAAGCTTATATTAGGTCCTCTACCTGCCTTTGTTTGTTGAACTTTTGTTTGCTGTTCCTTCAATTTGCCCAGAGTCTCGCGTGCTGCTATCTCACTGACTGTAAAGCAAAGCAGGGAGAGAGAGAGAGACAGAGAGAGATCTATGGCTTAGGGCCCAAGGCTGGGTCCTAAGCCACCTCGTCGGCTGCACAAAAGAAAGATAGATAGATCCTTGGGAGGCGACGAGAGCTTCGTGCCTGGATCTTTTCAGAACATCATTGAGAAGAGCCCATCCTTGCCGAGCGCAGCGCCTCGCTGTGTGCAGTAGATTTAAAATATGGCCCTTTGGGTCAACTTAGGTAGTGAGCAGGGCTATATAAGTCCAGTCAGTCCGCTCATGTGTAGTACCAGAGCCCACGCCATGACCTACCCATGCTTGCATGCTACATTCCTTGGAAGATCCTTCCGCTGCAACCCAACTCCCTCGTCTGACATCGCATCTTTCGGCAGAATTTTCTGAAAGCGCCCCACTTGCGTTCGCTGTGGTCAACTTGAAGTCCCGTACCTTGAGCTGCTGGTCTGACTGACATCCCTTCACTGGCCGTGCCCGCAAAATTGCAGAAATTGCAAGCACTGCATCCCCGACACTGCACCATACCAAGAGCTTGCCAGCATGAGGGTCTCCAGAAATCCTTGAGCCCCGCAAATCACGGTGCTAAACGGATATTCTACCACTTTCCAAAACAATGAGCATCGGATGCTAGCAAGAATTGATGTAGTTGGTAAGATCACGCAAAAGCAGGCCAAGCATTTCCTTGATCATGTCTGCACTGCAGGCAGGAAGCCCTGTAATCTTTGGCGGCTTGAAAGGAGAGCATGAACAGCCTAAACCAAAGCCTTGCAGCTGAGTTGCAAGCATTTCAGCGTGGTGGGGTTGGAGCCTTAGTTGCGGAGCTTGCGCTGGTTCCTAGTTGAGCTATGGCTATGACCGCCTAAGGATTCTTGCCGTGATGCAGTTGTCGTCGTCCGGGCTATATCTCTGAAAGGGTCTTCTTGCGTACGACATACCCCAATACAATGGAACCCCAAGCGGTTTGGCTCTTTGCGGATGGCCAGAGAGGACAGCCACGCCTATCAATGTAGTGTTGATTAGAATGACAGCCGATATCTACTGCGGAGATAGCCATCGGCATCTGGGAAAGCCATTAAAATGGTGTTTTTGCAAAACTTGAGGCGTTGCAAAGTTTGCAAAATTGCAACAACGCCTACCGTTGTGTGAAGTCACTGCATGTGCAGCACGAACACTGGACATTACGGTGAGTATCTACAACTTAGGGAGCTTACCTTGGTCTCTGCAATGCAGCCCTGCCCAGGAATGGTGTAAAACCAAAATTAGAAGTGGTAGTTTCCCAAAATAG